CTACAAGAAACCCCAGACCACGGACGCCGGTAACACAGCCCAGGAACATGCATGGGGAAAACTTTGCAACTGAGCATGTGCAAAGAGCTCATGCCCCGGACTATGTATGGATAAGAACCTATGTACTGAGCATGACTGAACGGGAACCCGGAGGGTTCAAAAGGGGAAGTTTGAGAGCTTGGGGGGGCGGCGGCGAGCTGTGAAAGAGCTTTCTTTTGTTCTAAACAGCCCCCCCCTCCCGGCGCGCCGATTGTCTATCTACCGCTTATTAATAAATTTGCTTGCTACTGTAAATTGGCTTCTTCAATTCCTTTAAGGCATTGCTGGTAACATTATACATAGTAGAAGAAACCCCATTTGATTCTTTTATTTAAATGGAACCTAAGGACAAGCTCTTTGAGGTGCTATACATGTAATTCCTACCACAGTGTTGGTGGCAACTGTGTTAATTCCTATAACACGTCTCGGCATCCAAGCTCTAGCTCTAAACTGTACAGGAGAGGAGCCAGACCTCTCCACTGGTAAGGATTTCTCACTTACTCAGTATGGAAATGGCTGAAGGTGGAATTCAGTGAAGAAATGAATTCACGTAAGAAAGATCTAAAGAGCAATGGTTCTCACTTTTGTGAAATCCCATTAAAAATGGCATTTGCCCCTACACCTCTGCGTGTCTGTGTGTGCATTCACAAGTGAGCAGAAATCCAAACACTCAGGTCATTATCGGGGCAGAAAGAAACCAACACCTGCCTTTGTTAAGACGCATAAGGTTAGTGCAAGAGATACAAAGAAACAAAGTATTTATTGTTAAAAGCTTTTCTACGAATCACTTGGCATCATACAATGAGGACATGGTGGCTAGAGAGTAGAGGGAGTCTCTCTCTTCCCCTCATTCTTTATACAGGTATTTGCTCACTGTCACAAACCCACTGTTGTATTTTTTAAATGGAGTTCCTTTCTTCAATGAGATTTAAACATATCATACAGGATCTGGCAAAACAGATACATCCTGTTAAACAACAGAGCAGTTACAGGAAGGAGACCTCTTTCTTTAGGAAAAAATAGCATTCTTTTCCTCCTCATCCCTTTGCACTGCCATAAAAGGGTTCTCCACACAAAACCAGGCTAACAAACCCCAAATACCTGATGAGCATTTTCTCAAATTAGGAGCCCTAGGATATGCACCAATATTGATGTATGCACTAATATTTTCACTCGGCTTCCCTAGGATAAATTCTTAACAATGTGGTTTAAAAAACCTGCCAGCTGAGACAATGCCTGCACTACAACTACCAACCTGCTACATTGAACAACTGAATCCCTGCTGGTAACAGTGGAAAATGTTTTGACAGTGTGTCTTAAAGTTATTTGCAGAACTTTTGGTTCTGTCCTGCATGACCATTTCCAGGCTACACACCAGCTGAGCCTGGCTCTCCCACGGGCTCTCTCCCTGTATACACACACACATGCACACAGAACACACTGACTCACATGGACTGTGCTATTTCCAACAGTACTCTGCGCATTATCTTGTGCCATGTCTTACTGGCACTTCAGTGGCACCCTGCTCCATCTTTTTATTGCCTTTCCCACTGTTGTATTTTTCTCTTTATTCCATAACCAAACATTTGTTTCCTCTTTAATCTCTACGAAACACTTGATCTGAGTCCTGACTCATGGCCAACAGCACAAAAGACTAAAAAGACTGTTTCTAACCTGCCATGTCAACACTTCTGCTCCAGTATGTTTTTCCTTTCTACTGGTACTCCAGAATTCTGCTGAACCCTTTCCTAGTTTGATGCTCTATTTTCTAACGATCTATATTGTCATGTATACATGAACTCCTTCTATGCACAGAATGTGTTTTTTTAAGTATGCACAGATTTGTATTGTACTGTGGCAATAAGACTCCAAAACATCTTCTTATCACCTCTTATACACACAAAAAGACAACCATCCTGAACTTCAAATGAATTTCTCATTCACAGTCTGCCACAATTACCTGCTTGTTCAGTGCCACTACCTTTAATTTTTGTACTCCCAATCAGCACTTGGTCTATTTCCTTCCAGTTCCTTCCTCCATCACTTCTCTTCAAATAAAATTTCTCTTTGTTTTGCAAAAAAGCAAGCTCCCAGCTGCACTCCTGGAACAGAGGACAAAATTTCTCACTATGCCTCTTCCGTAAAAGACCGGAACTGCTCCTGAACACAGGAAAAAGGCATCAAACTATCAAACCCCAGTTTAGCCAAAGGAAAGACACCTGACAGCTATTCCTAAGACTCACTGTTGGTGACCAGTCTTTTTATAGGCTGGTGGGATATAAGAATTTAGATTCTGGATTGCCATCTGCAGTGGCTGATTCATGCACACACACACTTCAGTACAGCATTGCTGCTTAACACAGATTCAGCTTTCAGTGACGCAGTTGTGAACACAGGGCAGCAACACCACATTAGTTTTGTTAATTTGCTCTGAAAGAGACTTGGAACCACATCCATCCAATTAATTCTACAGAGAGGCCCTAAAAGCAGGCTGGACTCCAGTATGTCGCCAGCTGTGGCACATGACTGATATTTCTCTGTAAAATATTTGCCACTTCAGTGGGAAGGCTCTCAAACCCCAGAATTCCCTGGTAGACATCCTGCAGGCATCTATCTCAGTCTCATTTCCTTCTCACATCCTTTCATATCTTTCTCTGCATTTCCTATTCCTGCAGACTGAAATCAACACCTGAACATAGCTGCTCTGTTTGCCACGTACAGAAAAGAGTTTTATACACTGGGCAGCACAGTGCACACAACTGACAGAGCAGCGGAACAAATATGGAAGCACAGTAGCAGATGACACCCACTGTTTTCCCTCACATTGCTTTCCTGTAGTCCAATTAGTGGAATCCTAAATTAAGCAAGATTTCAAGCCAATCACTGTCTGGCAGCCTCACAGCCCCTCACTATAACCAGTTTAAGACTGCAGGATTTCACATTTTACTATGAAAAGAGGTTTTAACACAAAAAAAATAGTTCCAAATGAAGCCATCCCCAGGAAAAGAGTTAGAGCTATTCTTTTTCTCACACCAACTTTTTTTTGTGACAGGACTGCCCTCACGTGACTACAATCAAAAGTAAATATATACCCAAGACATCTCTGAACACAATGGACAGAGTAAAAGCTATGGCACTATTAATGTGAAAGCAAAGATGTTAAAGGACAGTTATATTTGGCAGCTGATTTTTGGACTAGAATTCATGTTGGGCCATTAATTACCATTACAAAAAATGAGGAAGGATTTAAGGAAGATGTCCCTGCTTCCAAGTAAATGTGCTATAAATTCCCATAGTCTGAATTTGTCATACATTTACAAAGATGATGATTTCTAAGGGATATGTTCTTTGTGCTATTTAAGGTTGATAGAGCTTTATAACTCAAGAACATTCCACATAACCAGCACATATCATGTATGGGGGAACTAAGTATTTCATAGTAAGAGGCAGTTCACCCATGATCAAAATGTGAGACCAATCCAGGGACTCTGTTAACATTGTGAAGAAAAGAGAAAACTACCATGTTACATGAAATTAAGCTTCTTGGATTCAGCACCAACAATTAGAAAGTTCTTTTCAATGATGAATCCCGCAGGCACACACAGAGAAACATTTAAGAAATTTGATACTTTACATATATGTTCATTGTTAGTATTTGCTGTGTTCAAGCAAAGCACCTTTATGTTATTTTCATTTTCTCAGAATGCCTCATTTGTTGCTATTACCACTGATATTAAGGATGCCTAAGAAGCTCTTATTGCAGGGATCATCCTCTTGGTAAAGGACATTGATCATACCCATCTAGTGATATGTGACACAGTCTACCTTTCACTGCCAAGACAAGGGGAAGAGGAAGGAATTGCATCTGCAGAAGAGATGTCCTGACTGTACGTCTTTCTTTGAGAGGGGCTCCACATTCCTACGAGAATGAAAATCCTCGTAGTTTGTTCTTTCAGATGGTGAGACAGCTTCTTTCACTGGCCCATCTGTAATAAAAACTCTCTTCAGGAGTATAAAACATTCCACAGCTATAAGAACAACTATCTTGTCTAATTCCAGATAAGTTACTATTTGAGACTCTTGGGTACTGTAGAATGAGAACTGCATTTATTTCTCTAAATCTGTAATCGTCTAGAACACCTACCTCAACCTCCCCCACCAGTGCCACCCATGACTCTAAGCTTAGCCCATTAGGATTTGCTGTGTAGTGTCTGAACTTTCCACTAAAACGTAACAATGAGCGCTGATGAATGAACCTTTAGTCTTCTTTCACATTGACAGTGGTATGGTGCTGCCTCTGGCCTGGGATGGTTTGAGACACCCACCAGGGGCAAGATTTTCAAGGGTCACTGTAAAGCTGGTGTTCTGACTGGTGTGTTAATGGTACATTCCCATCCAGTCAGGAAGCAGGTCCATGTGTAACAGTGAGCTAGTAACACTGAAAAGTCCACTGGTTTGGTGGTCATGATGCCAATGGGATCTTGTGAGCAGACTTATGTGTTACGCACTCCCAGAGATTGTTCCAATTCCTGTCGACGCTGCTGGATCTGAAAGAAAAAGTACAGTTCAGCAGATTCAATTGTTCAGTGGCAGAAGATGCATTTATAAGCCAGCAGTGTGGATACTTCTTTCATACCTTGCAGTAGAAATATCTGCTCACAGCCTCTTGAGACCATGGCTCGTGATAAAATTCGGCTCTGCGTTCTTCCTCTGGGTTTCCCACAACATCAGTCATCACCTGTGATAAAAACAACATTTTTCACAATAGCCCATCTACCACATAGACAAACTTTCAGGTTTAGGTAGAGTCAAAATTTATCTACATTACTACATAAAAAATGTTCAGAACTGTTCTGAAAGCCCAAAGCAAATGGACGATGCGTGCCTACTACCAAAACAAGATCACAGAATCATCAAATGGTTTGTGTTGGAAAAGGGACCTTAAAGCTCATCTTGTTCCACCCCTGACTATAGGCAGACACCTTCCACTAGACCAGGTTGCTCCAGGCCCTGTGCAACTTCCAGGGATGGGGCAGTAGGGGGTTGGAACCATTCTATGATTCTACAAAAAATAGAATTCTGATGACTAAGTCTCCAGCATCATAGAATCACAGGTAAATATAAAGTTATTAGCATATTTTGCAGAGCAGTATTGTACAATCACAACTCTGATGCCAGCAGGACAGAACATCATGGAGAAGGCTCTTATGGGACTGGTTGTTGGTCAGGGAAAACTCTGAACAACTATTCTATGTATGCAGCTAGAGAAACCCCACAACACTTTTGTTTGAAAGCTCCTCAAGCCAAAGGCTGCTTTATTTAAACATTCTTGCTATCCCCTTTTGAAAACAATATAAATAATAATAATCATAATCTCAACAGTAGATTTTTGTAAGACTATTGACTAACAAACAAGGCATTTACATATGAAAGACACAATGATTTTAATAAAATAATTTCACTTATTCATTAATATGACTGATTTCGAGGCATGTCAGTTAAAGACAGAAAATGTGAAACTTTATGAAGAAGAAATTATTCGTTTTTGCTGTCAAACAACTGAACTTCTTTACATTCCATTTCTCGCATATCTCAAAGATAAGCTCTAAGGCAGCTGACATTTAACCTGCCTATTTCTTAAATAAGATTAAATTATGAACTAACAAAACACCCCAAAATTGTGTTCTTGTACTATAGAAGGCTCCTACTGAGTTTTATATAGCTTTGATTTTACAGAGTATATCAACACAGCCCTGCACTTCGATCCTACTGTCCGACCACAAATCCACCTACCATCCCCACCAAGCACTGTTGTTTCACTGGAAATGGATTACAACCTAAACTGTTTTTCCTGCATGCTGTCTGCTCTGGGATTGCAGTACTCCACTAATTGTTTGTCTTCCACCAATTATCCATCCTGGATGTTTAGCTATACACTCTGTATACATTTAGATAAAATTCTTCGATTCTGGTTCCACTATTCATTCTTTTTCAAACCTTAGCTTACCTTAAGATCCCTACTTTGGGACCGGAGAAGGTCTTGGATGTATCCTTTGGGATCTTTGGAGAAACTCAGCATGAAATCACGTTGTATTTTTAGCTGATTTATGGACTCAATTGTCTCATGAATCTAACAGTAAAAAAAAACCAAAATATGTTACTTAATTTCTACCATTCTCCAGTGACCCTCAGGTCAGGTATGTTAGCATCTTTGTATTCCTGGTAATGTACAAAGGTCACAATTCTACACCACAGACTTGTGCAGCTTCCTAGGGCTTTTTCACTTCAAAGAGCAGCAACTTAACTGCAATCGTGCCATTACATTTTGGTTTCACTTGTACTTCTGCAATACAAGTATGTACAGGATTCTCCTCCACTTCCTGCACTGAAGCGCTGCATGGCTCGCAGAGCTAAGTCACGTCACCAAGCAAAGTAATAATTTTCTGTGTAGAATCACTCTTTCTGCCTAGTCTGGGATCTTTGGGGAAAAGTGCTACATAAATACATCTTTAAACAGTGCCCAATGCAAGAAAGCAGTTATTCCTCCGGTTATCATCATCACCATATCTTCCATAGCCTACTGTAATCCTTAAAAGTTCTAGCAACTTCTTGATCAAGTCCATGTTAAATGAACAGCCATGACTTCTAAACTTTTTCTTAAGAGAAAGCCTAATAAAGTCACACTGGCTGCAAAAGGAAGCAGAGTGTGAACAGTGAGAAATCGGGAGTATGGAAGGTTTACAGAAAATCAATCATATATTCAGAAGTATTATGAAGGAAATTAGCACTAACTAGCAGGGAAGAATGAAGAGAAGTCGGGGTCCTACAATGTTCCTGGATATCAACATCAAGTATGATCAGTAGGAGTACAGTTAATGAATCATCTGCACATACACACACAGAGAAACAAACTTTTGCTACCCTGCTCTTCTAACTTTCTAGTTTGAGATAGTAAACCTATCTTGTTTAGTTTCATGTATTCATCTTTTTTTGTCAAAGCAGCTAACGGGGCCAAGCACATGGGAGAAAATAATTCTCCCCTGACTATGCCATCAAGGCCACTAATGTAGGCAATACAGGATAAATTAACAAAAGTGAACTGCTGTCAACTTAAAATCATTCCTTCTTTGGGAAAACGCTACAGTTGTGTGGAGTAAACTCCACTGGCACACACCGAGTTCCCAGGACAGGATCTGTGTGTCAGCACAGCAATGCATGGCACAGAGGGGTAACAGCAGCAGCTCATGCCCATCCACCCAGCAGTGATTTTAACTTCTCTTATCACAGCTTGCCCTGTGCTGTGGTAATAGCAAATAATCAAAAAAGAGGTGAGACAAGACACAGAAAAAGGTGAGCTGGACTGGAAACAGAATATCATCATGCATGCTGTTTGCAAGCTTATACAGGCTGGGAACCAACTGACTGAGCAGCTGCTCTGCTGAATAGGACCTTCCTGGAGAGCCATAAAAGATGCTGCAACAGTTACCAGAATCCACTGGATTGCTGGTGTTCAGACCCCCTTTAAAAATGCGTGAACACAAGAGTTTACTATATTTTTTTGTATTAGAGGCAAACAAACAGAAGCTGAGCCTTGCTCTGAAAAGCCACTTTTGTTTATCCCTTACCAAGCCAAATCAGCCACTGACACATGGCAGAAGCTGGCCAACAGTGACATGAACCCCCCGTACAGCCTGCAGAGCCCACCACTGCCCTAAGACAGATACTATTATTTGAAGTGCACATGATCCTCTTTCAATAACACTTAAAACCGCCAAACTGCTCCAAGTGATTTTCCTGCCATGCATGTTCCATATTTGCACCTACTGCAGAGAGCTGTTCTGCAGTTATGGATACAAACACCACATCTGAGTATGAGATTCTGACAGCTTTGCCTTAGCAATTTAGCAAGATATCAGGACCCCTCAACAAAAATTTACAGTCATACAGTTCAGGTGGTTCTCGAATGTCAGGGTACTCATTACACTACCTGTGAAACTCTACTTCTGTCACCTTGATAACCATGTCAGGCCCTGGATCAAATCCTGAGTGGGAACACCACTCACCCCTGTGTATTCCCACTGCATGTGGTCGATTCATTCCTTGAAAGCACATTTCCTTGAGAAGTCCCTGTCTCAAGACATTACTGTCTTTGACATGTGACACCAAACCCATATGAAGCTACACGAGTACATGAACCATAGGATCCTTTACTATTGGGCTAGTACCTTGTTGTCCAATGCTGTAATCTCCTGTTGGTTTGCTGTTGAGAGAAGAAAACTACTCATCTGGCCTTTTAATGGGTCTTCAACTTCTACATCTATGTCATAACACGCTGTCTTCTTCTGGTCATTGGGATCAACACTACAGAGAGCACAACACAAGATCATGAGAACAGCCAAAATGAGTCAGAATAAATAGCCACCCAGCCCAGAATATAATCTTTGACAAAGCCTGTTGCAGATGCTGGGAGAAGATTGTAAGAACAGGGTATCTTTATACATATGTATATTCTAGTATATTCTCTCCTCTTTCATCCATCAGATTTCACAGATTTTTAAGCTGGAGCTTTTGTCCAGACCACCAAATTTAAAAGCTACTGATAGACATAGTGTTCATTAAATTGCCTAACATCCTCCTGAGACCTATTAATAACCTAAATACCAGTATCATTCTTTGGCTTGTCCTGTTCTAAATTTATATTTATATTTGTTGGCATTTAGACATAACATTTACTTTATCTTTAAAGTTTCTTAACAAGCAAACTGTTTTCAATCCTGTAGTTGGTAAATCAGACTTCAGTCACTGTCACACATAACCACCAGTTCCTTGTCATTTTTCTCTAAGCAATGACTACATTATCTCTGAGGACCTCAGCATTTTTGTGGTCCATCAGAGAGGTCACTGGGTTGTGACTGATGACAGTAAATACACAGTTATAAATGTGCATGGCAGCCAAGATGCTTCTTAATTACTCTGTTTGATATGAATGAATGAATCAAAAAGCCAATTTTATTTCATATCCTATGTAGTATTTAAACTTTATATCACGTTACAAATTTAAAATAAAGGATCACAATTTAAGTATATTCAGAAATTTGTTGTCAATATTCTGTAGGAAATCAAATCACTACATTCAAGTAACAATAATGTTTAAACACCCAGAATCAGAGTTTTGACCAAGACCACAAAGAAGCTTGCGAAGGACTGAAATATCTAAACAGTAAGACTGCAATCCTCAGAAGTCTCTTTGTTCCCCTCCTCCACACAGTTGTCACTTAAATACGGCATGTGCTTGAAGTGTCCCAGACAGCCTAAAGCTGTATTTTATCTGATATCCAGAAAACCATCTGTTTTGACAAGGATGCGAGAGCTCGGTATCTTGGTCACAATGGCCTCCTCTGAATCCAGGCATTTTTTGTTGTAAATCTCTGGAGATCAGATGACACCAAGCTGGGGGGGGAGTGTTAATCAGCTGGAAGGCAGGAGGGCTCTGCAGAGGTACCTGGATAGACTTGAGAGTTGGGCTGATTCCAAGGGGATGAGGTTCAACCAGGCCAAGTGCAGGTCCTGCTCTTTGGCCACAGCAACCCTTGGCAGTGCTACAGGCTGGGCACAGAGTGGCTGGAGAGCAGCCAGGCAGGAAGGGAGCTGGGAGTGTGGAGTGACAGGAAGCTGGACATGAGCCCGAGTGTGCCCAGGGGGACAAGAGGGCCAATGGCATCCTGGCCTGGCTCAGGAACAGTGTGGCAGCAGGAGCAGGGAAGGGATTCTTGCCCTGTACTCAGCGCTGGTGAGGCCACACCTGGAGTGCTGTGTCCAGCTCTGGGCCCCTCAGGTCAGGAAGGATATTGAGGTGCTGGAGCAGGTCCAGAGAAGAGCAACAAGGCTGGGGAAGGGACTCAAACACAAGTCCTGTGAGGAGGGAGATGAGGGAGCTGGGGTTGTTTAGCCTTGAGAAGAGGAGGCTCAAGGGAGACCTCATCACTCCCAAAACTACCTGAAAGGAGGTTGTAGCCAGGTGGGGGTCGGTCTCTTCTCCCAGGCAACTACCAGTAAGACAAGAGGGCACGGTCTTAAGCTCTGCCAGGGGAGGTTTAGGTTGGATATTAGGAAGAAATTCTTTACAGAGAGCGTAATCAGGCACTGGAATGGGCTGCCCAGGGAAGTGGTGGATTCTCCATCCCTAGAGGTATATAAGAAGAGACTGGATGTGGCACTTAGTGCCATAGTGTAGTAACCGCGGTGGTAGTGGATCAGGGGTTGGACTTGACGATCTCAGAGGTCCTTTCCAACCCGGCTGATTCTATGATTCTATCTCTTGGCTCCTTGGAATTCTCAGGGTAAGACTGACACCCAAACAGCTGACCCAATACCAACAAAGCATGCATGGACTGGCTACTGCATTTGAAACTGTAATGCTGTTGTACACTTTACATAAGAACTCAGTGATTTATAGGATTGCCCATAATGTCTTACTTCAATTCCTTTTTTATCTCTTTTTGTGGGTTCAAACTCTCATTCCTCTCCCCTTAGGAAAGAAACCCAACCAACTCTCTCAGTGGTATTCTAGAAGGAAAAAAAAAATTGTTTTGCAAACTTCTAGAGAAATGGTGCCATTCTACTGAAAATAATTCAGAATTACACAGACTAGAATGACACAGAGAATGAGCATGCAAAAAAGTCCTAGGTACTCACATGGAAGTTATAAAAACTGAATTCTGGTGCCTGCTACTACAGCTGTTTCTGTACTTTATCTAGTGAGTGTTTTGCACATGACAGTGCTGAACTTGACTGACCAGCTTACCTGATGATGTGGTTTATCACTATTGGGTCTGGTGGCAGCAGTAGGTTAGTGAGTCTCTGAGGAATTTCAGAAAACTTTAGCCGTGGACAGTCAAAGATCTACAACACAATAAACAAAAAACGGTGTCTGTCCAAAACTTAACTTGCAATTAAATGAGAAAGTAAGAAATCAGCAGTTCATAAGGAAGGTGATTTTGAAAACTGTAATTCAGGTTCCTTGCACAGAATAAATTTTTGGTCACTTCTGTCCTTGGAAACTGCTGCTGTACTTACATCTGGGCTCGCAGACAGACGTATCAGATGATGACAATTTCAGGTGTTCCATTTTTGGTTCAACTGCTGAAGGGCACAGGACATTTTAATGGGATATAAGGATCAACTGTATCAATGACGGGAGAGATGCAAACACTCCCTTTCTCACTGAGTGTTTGCAGCAGCACATGGCAAAGAAAATTCTATTAAAATTTTTTTACCAGAGGAAACATAAAAACATTGCTTTTTTTTTTTCCCCAAGGAATGTTTCCTGCAGTATTTTGTGGTAAAGAAAAATACAAGAAAACATTTCTGAATTTTAAAACTATTTGCAATTTATTTTTTTTAAGATTAAGGAAAAAATAAACTCAGTGTGGTATTACATATTTTTAACCAAAGCCTGAACAGCCTCTTGAAGGACCCCCCCCCTTTCTGAACAACAATTCACAGTTACCGTCTCTTCACTATGGTCCAGAAGCTAAACAGAATCATGGACTCATTGAATATCCCAGGTTGGAAGGGACCCACAAGGGTCATCAAGTCCAACTTCTGGTCATGCATAGGACAACCCTGAAAATCACATCACAAATAGGTACTGACTTCAGAAAAAAAATTATTCTGAAAAGGTTAAAAGGTGTAGGTTTTGGAAATTTTCTGTGAGTAACTGCAGTACATTGCCATAAATCTAGAAACACTCCTCGCACCTGGAATTTCCAGAAATATAATTATTACCATCTTTTTTTCCTACTGGGATTTTTAATGCTCTGAACAGGTGAACAGGCTTTTCTCTAAGGGTATTCCATTTAAACTGATTTAAGCCTCCCTCACACCCCCCCCCCCCAATATTACCATTTGCCTTAAAACATGCCCTTATGTAAAGGCAATCTGTGAAAATGTTGAAGCCTGTGCAAATGTTAGGGAAACTATTTTCACCTGATAGAAGAGATACACTACTTGTGTAGTGTATACTTGTATCTATAAACAGAGACAAGCTTTGTAGCTTCAGAGACAAAGGATGCAGGCAGTGTTGAAAAAAAAAGGACTATCAAGTTGCAGGACAGACATACAAACTCAGATGCTGTGATTCCCCAGATACAGTTATCTTCTGAAATCCATAATTTTCTCAGTGAGAAAGTGAGGGAATTCAGCAGCACAAACACCTAGAAGCCACCTATGACTTTTGAAATACCTTTGAACCATTTTTCTTGCTTTCACTTGTAACACAGTGGATTTCAAATCTCGCTGTTGATGCAAACAGTGTTTCTAAACAGAAAAGGATCCATCTTCATCAACTCTACAATTTGTCTGATTTGTTGGACTTGCCTGCATCCAGGAATTCAGCCAGCTACTTTCTAAAGAACAAGATCTACTGAGTCTGCAGCTCACTCTTTATTTCAGTTCCGAATTCTGACACTTGATAGAGACAACTGTGGAATTCCCATCCAAAATCTCTGCATACCAAACTACATCCAATCTGCTGTCACCACTGGCTCAACACTCCTGTCAAACTCCTAACATGGAGTTTGACCAAGAGACAAGAGCTTGAAGAATGGAAAAGGGATCAAGGATACACACTAGTGAGAGGAGCGTGGGAGCCTGGAAACTAAGGCTACATGGAATTTTCCTAAAACTTCTCACATTCCTTCTGAATGGAGTTAATGGTATAAAATTGTAATCCCTGGCTCTGAAGGCTCTCTGGCCACAGTGATACTGGTGTGTCAGGTAACTCATTCAGCAGTATTTTTTTAGATACAACCACAAGCACACCAGCGCATGACTCAGAAGAGCTGGCACAGTGAATGAGAAGACATGTATCTAAATGAATGGAATGTGTTATATACTGCTCCCCTAAGGGATCTGCACACTTCCAGCTAGGACCACGTTTTTTCCAGGAGTTACATGACTAAAACTATTTAGTCTACAGAAATATTATCAGACTGGAAGGCACTACTAACCCAATTCCTTTACCCTCCATCTCTCAATATAAGAGTATTAGAGTGAAAACCCAAAAAAAACTATCATGAAATGTTTCATTTGATGAATGGGATTCGTATTTCTAAGCACTAATGTCAAGTTTTGAAAACAAGACATTAGCTAATTAGGACAATTTTGCCAGAGACCTAAGAAAAACAGAAACACTCAAATCAATCCCATTTATGATTGAAATCTATGCAAGTGCTGCATTCTTATGCAACTATTCCAGCTTAGCCAGCTCTTGCAGAGTGTGAGGTTCAGTCTTTTAGAAAGGCAATCAGCTACTTCCCAACTCTCTCATCTGACTCATCTTCTGAGAATGAGAAGACAAGTACCAGGTGTGATGACATCCCTGAAGAGTTCTAACACAAAGGAGACCTACAAGCTAATAAGCCCCTAATGAGATACACAAAGAGAAGGTGGCTTCAGCAACTTCTTATTCTAGCAAAGCTCTTAAACAAAAAATTTTAAAAAAAATGAGAAGGTCACCCTGCTCACCAAAAGTAAGATACGAACGTGTGTACTTTTTTAGACAAACAATCTGCTACAAATCCTGTAAGCCTAAACGTACAGGAAAACGAAGTCAATTATGACAGTGATAGCTCAGATAACATTATCTTTACAAAATAAATATAATCATATCTACAGAAAGGGTGGAGATGCTTTTAAGTGACTTTCGTAGTTAATTCTAGAAGTTGCCATGAAGGACAAAAAGTCCCAACATGCAGCTTTCAAAATATCATGCAGATCATTTAAGGGTATTTTATTGTCTGAAGCAGGCTTAGGAAAAAATAACTTTTCTAATTATATCTTCCATGTCTTCTATCCTTCATGAACAGGGAAAGAGAAGGGAAGAAAACAGGTCTACATATGATTTGACAATCAAAATCATTAAGGGAAGATAAAAATCAGTAATTTTCATTCCAATTCCAACTCATCCCAAACTTGTGGATGGATGTTAACAGTTTGCTTCTAAAGAGCTACTGTGTCCAAAAAGGAGTTACCTGCTGGAAGTACTTGTCGCAGTTGATGTATTCTTTATCGTGAGAGTCCTGCAGCTTGTTAGTTTTGATGTACTGCCAGAGTGCCTGGATGATGGCCGAGCGTGTCTGCGTGTGGATCCCCAGCAGCCGAGCCAGCCGTGGGTCCAGCTTGAACTGCGGGGGCTGGAACAGGAAGAGAAGGAGGGGGCAGTGGAGAGGAAAGCAGACAGATACACAGGTGTAAAGTTTCAGTATTAATTCTCAGGGCACTCTGTTCCTTGGAGAAGCACCCCATTCAGTGGCAGAGATTGAAAAAACACAAGTTTGTATTTCTGTATCCTCCTGTTGATGCTCTGGAAGAAGGATCTGTGCCATGCACACAGACTTACCTTTAAATAATAACAACTTGCACAAAGACTGAGGAAAGAATTCTCCTTTTCAACATTGATGCATAATTATATTGTAAGGAGTGGGAGAAGAAACAGAATAGCCCTTCCTCTGAACTACTGAAGGTTAACTACAGAGAGGAAAGGAAGTCATGATGATTCTTTCACTGTTGTAATGACTGCTCAGCTGCCTCACATCAACAAACTGTCTCGGAAGTCTGTTTTTTCAGGTATGTTCCCACCATTCTGGTGCATACCAGAACATTTACCCAACCACAACCAGTCAATAAGAATATATTTCTTCTCCTGATCTCTGTGATACAACTCAACTACCCTGGTCTGCAGCCCTAGTAATATAAATTCCCTGGATAATTTGGAATTACACATCTAGTTCAGGTACCACTGAACTAGCAAAAGCCACTCCTTTGAATGTTTTTAAAGAACCACACATGTAACTTGTGTTCAACTTATCTGACTATTCTCTAAAAAGCCAGTGGAGGAAATGCATATTCTTTCCGTAGGTGGGCAATAAAAATACTAATTAGTACAGTGCCAAGACCTATTATTTTGCTAGACTATATGAGAAGCACACTTGATGTGTCCCCTTTAAGTAATCTGTCAGTTTGGTACCATTCTAACTTCAACGGACCATGTGACATTCTGAGCCCAAGTCTATTGTTTTTTGATCTGTGTGACAGGATGAATTTGCTCTGTTGCACCATGTCCCAGTGGCTGTACTGACCTGGTAGTCCAACATGAGGAGTAACGTGCATCGCACACTGACATCCCCAGGTCTCTTCACCTGGAATCCGTCCGTTTCCTGGGTTGTGGGAGTTCTGTGCCACTGACAAAGGGAGAAACAAGAGAGTCAGCCTTTTTTTCACTGATGTCCATGGAGGTGCATCTTGCACAGCACACCATACCAGAATAAAACAAGTACAAGCCTTCTGAAGATCTGGCAATTTAAAAAAGAAACCCAACAACAACAAAACCAAACCACAACAACCCGCCCTAAATCATTTCAATTCAGCTTTAGTGCAGAATCTGTACTGCTGTTACACTTTACTTGACAAGAAAAATGTGCATAATTTTTTCATCTTTTTGCACATTCTGTTCAAGATGTGCACTAAATCACTATTAATCTATGTTTTTAGACTAGATTCTATTAGCAAACATTCTTAAGAAGAATGGAATTTTGAAAACTTTGAAAATACCTTAAATGAGATAACAAATGCAAGGTCACCTAAACAAGGGAGACAACAGGCACCTGGGTGCTTACGTGTGCCACTATCACGTGTGTATGCAAGTGTGCACGACCCTCTCACCTCCACAAGATGGTTGTCAGGTCCATAAAGATCTTTGTCCAGTTCAATAACCAAACTCTTAAAAAAAGACGAAAACTTCCGTTTCTGTTTGCTGAGCTGTACAAGCAGAAGAACCAGACATGTTTACGGCTGTGTATATTAGCTTGTGTCCTAGGCTTCCTTCTCAGCCTCTCTCTTTGTCTTTAACATTAAATCCCATGTAGACCACAAGTGTGGTCACTCTAATTGAGTTTTCCCTCTGATAAACACGGGATAAGATGCAAAAATCTCAACAGTGGTGGAACAATAAAACAGAACAGTAGGGAAGATTTCCCTGACTCTCTTAATGTTATTGGAAAGGACTGGCTTGTCATGTGAACATGGCACTCGTGAGAGCAGGTCCAGAGAAGGGCATGAGAATTATCTGAGGGCTGGAGCACCTCTCCTGAGGAGAGGCTAGGAGAGCTGGGGTTGTTCAACCCAGAGAAGAGAAGGGTCTGGGGGATATTTAAAAGGGGCTTGTAAGAAAGATGGAGAGAGACTTTTTACCAAGGCCCGTAGTGATGGGACAAGGGGAAACAGTATTAAAATGAAAGACAGTAGGTTTAAACTGGTCATTTTTTACTCAGAGGGTGAGGAGGCCCTGGCACAGGTTGCCCAGGGAAGCTGTGACTGCCCCATCCCTGGAAGCCTCCAGGGCCAGGTTGGGCAGGGCTTGGAGCAACCTGGGATAGTGTGCCCCTGCCCACGGGAGGGGGTGGAACTGGGTGGTCTTGAAGGTCCCGTCCAACCCAAACCATTCTATGATCCTAAGGCCACAGTATACCTTTCATTTGAACAGTATGGGTTTTTTTAGTGAATACTAATTTCTTGGTCTGATTTATCAGATAACAGTAAATTTTACAGATTTATCATACACTAGGTAAAACTATTTTCTTTTACATTTTGTCTTTCCATTTAATTACCCATATTCACTGTTTACTCCACAGCTCATACTGTCTACATTAAAAACTGTAAGGTTTATAACCACATAATCTGACTTTCCATGGAATATAGTCTATGTGTTTCCAGTTTATTTCTTTGTATTTAATGAAGATAATATTTTATTAAAATATGCCAGTAATTGAAAAGATATTTTGTTCCAATAAAGAATCTCTTTCTTTGTTAAAATATATCCTCTAATTTCTAAAATGAATTTGTCTAACTTCAATTCCTAGATGCTGCACTTTGTCACCACTTCATCCTCCAGGAAGATCATGATTCTGATTCATGTACAGTTACCTCCAGACAGCCGAAAGCCTTGCCCTCTGCATGCATGCAAGTTCTTAATCTGTTTAGCCTGTAAATACTCAGCTTGTGAAGTCTATTCAAATAGGTGACACCTTTATTAGGAAAGTCCAGCCTTCCCCAAGGAAAGCTAAATCCATCAGTGAGGTTTCTGAGGACTTCATAATGATGAAACGTTTCTCCCATCCTTGCTCTCACCATCCATACACCATATTGTTCTCCCTAGGAATATGAAGTACTTCCTTCTCCTTGTTATGCTGCTCTTCACAAGATGCAATGCCTACTGTAGGCCTGACTTTTCATATCTTTTGTGACCTGAACCCTGCCATCTCTTTTGAAGGAATCATCTCAGCCCTCTTCTCTCCACCTCCTCCTATCTGTCCTGTCTTTAAGTCTGCTTCATTTACTGCTGCTCTCCCCAACACTCCCACTAGGGTCTTATCCCTCACTCCAGTTAGACATGGTGCCTTCCCAGCAGCAGCAAGCCAGCACTGCCATTCAGAGATGTCTTGTCTCAGCTGATGTCCCCACCACCCCACAGGACAATCTCTAGAGCCCTCACAGCCCCAGTGAAGCACAGCTCAGTCATACATCATCCAGAAGCTTCCCTTCCACGCGCAGCTCCCACGAAGCAATGCTGCCGTCGGAGTCCTCGGCATCCGACTTTGCAGGATTGAATGTGTTGGAGATGTAAAGTCTCAGTTTCCGCTTTTGCTGTTGCACACACAGAAAAAAGAAAAGGACAATTCCAGTTAAAGTTCAAGACCTGAGGAAGCCACAGGAAAGGCGACAGTCACATTTAGTAGAGAATCTACATGTTTAGTACAGTTGCACCAGGTTATACTAGAATATAGGATTTGGTTACCTGTAAGAAAATACACTGAAGAGCTGAATGTGAAACTTCCTTTCTTGGCTGTACAAACATACTAAAATTCACTGTAAGTGGAGGAAGACAGGAGGTTGCAGGGCCAAGCCCAAGAGGCAATACATCCTCTACTTCTGGATTAGATATCTGAGAAATCATTTTAAGAAAAGCATGATACGATGTCCTTCCTGGCTGGAAGGTCCTAGCTGGACCTACCTAGATTGCTAAAACTCAGCTGCAAACTTCTTTCAACATGAATGCCTTTCAAAGCTGAATCAGTTCAGATTTGTAAATGACAGCCACAAATACAGCTTATGCTGCCAACTACCTGCCCTGCACGTCTCTGCCCATCTACATTCTACAGTTATGCAGCATCTGGTAACAGTCCTCCTGCAGACACACCTGAATACACAGACACACACACCCCTGCTGCCTTACCCTCCTCTTTAACTTCCTTCATGTTCAGCAAAGGTTGCAGCTCCACCTTGCTGTGAGACCTGAGTGGAGGAGGGCACCACACTTCATTCCTAACCCAGGCGCTCAAGTCTGTGAGAGATACAATTGTCCCTACCTGTTGCCATTTTTACAGTCTACCTGAGGTTTCCAATCACTGTGGTGCCTTTTGGCTGTGTCATTTCTCAGCACCTTTCCTCCCATGCACCATGTGGAAAACCCAGCCATGAAGTCTGATGCACAGATTCCAGACAAGATATTGCCAAAAATTACTCTGGGACTCTAATCTCCAATATCTATTTATAATACAATGACAAAAAGGCTACAGTTGTCAAGTTAATGCAGACAAAACAACCTTCATATGATATAAGAAAGGAGTAGCCTTGTAAAGCTTTCACACTCAAAGGAGAGAAGGAAGTTAGAGACAGCATGTTACTAGAGCATAATCTGTGATGGAGGAATGGGAAAGGTAGAGATTTATGACTGAAAAGGAACAAGAAAATTACTACATTTTGCCAAATATGGAGATGACAGTGACAGGAAGGTTTGATGGAAATGTAGTGTCAGTAGTATGCACTGACAGGGAACAGGATTTTCCAAAGTGCCATGAGTCCAGAAAGTGACAGGTTGACACAGGTAAGAATAGGCAGACAGGTAGAAAAATATTCTTGGGAATCTATATTCTTTCTCCATCCTTTCCCACAGGATTTCTGTTGCTAAAATGCTCTTTCATAATACCTATTTTCTTTAATGACCAGAATCTCTGTTTGGTGTGATGGACTTGTGAAGGACTTCACATTTCTAGATTCATAACTTTTCAAATTATCTTGTCCATTTTATGAACCAGTCCTAAACTTTATCCCCACATGGATTGCTTGCAGAACTGTACCTATATACATAAACAGCATTTTTACTTAATAGTTCCTCATAGATACTCTACTAATATTTCAGGTTTATATCACTTATTCCATTTCCTCTTCTTTCAAATTCCAAAGACATTATCTCCATTCTCCCCTTGCCCTGGAAACTCCGTCTTTTCTTCTATCTCCCAATATCCAGATAGGAACTGTATCTGTTTCCTCAGAAGTCTGACATTTTATCACCAAGATAATCCTCTGCAATAACATCCTTATTCAAATCTGAGTATTTTAGGTGCCTCCCTTTCTCCCGGTGTCCAGGCTCTAGCTGCCTCATACAGTTCACCTAAAACCAAGTCAGTAACAACGACGTCCAGCTCCATGGAGAGTGTCCATATGAGAACTGAAATATAGAGGCATCTCTCACCCAGAGAAGCAGAAAGCAGATATGTCAAAATTCAGCACACCCCTCTAATCTCTAATTTTCTTGGTTTTACTCGTTCTGATAAAAAAATCCCAAATCAGTGTTTATTTATCCCTAAGCTATTATTCCCTTTATTAAAGGGTTTCAGAAGCTAGAGCTGGCAATACCCACAGAATTCTCTACCACTTTTCCATGCATGCTGATTCCCAGCTGCTGAATCTTAAGAGCTTTGTCTGACCCACTCCAAAACACTCCTGTAACAGGACTTTTATTGGAAAGATCATTTCACCATTCAATACAAGAATTATTTCTCCACTCAACACAATCTATAAATTTTTCACAACATACCTTCATTGGCCTCTTCAGCGCTTCCTGAATATCCACACGCTTCCGCATAATGGTCTGGTCTAGCTTGCGTTCAAAGGCCAAGAGATCCATGTAGGCCTGGGACTCAGGAACCAGCTCCCGGATCTGAGAAGGAAGTAAGGAATATCCAAGCACTGGAAGCATGAATCTGCCGTGTTACAGAGCAGCAATACTGACCCATTCCCAGCCCTCAGACAGATGTGCCTAGAGCTGTTCTCCCTCCAGCAGTTCCCAGACAGTGAGGCAGGTCTCAGGGGCATGGGACAAGCACAGACTGAAGAGTGGGAGCACAGAACTGAAGCTAATGGATTCTGGAAGACCCTTGTGAGATCCACAAGGCCTGAACCATAGCTGCTTTTTTTCAAGTGAGGCTTAGCTACCAGCAGCCCAGGAGCTACTCCTGTCAGCAATCCAAAGTACAGTAAATTTGTCCTGTTCAGATGAAAATAGTGCTGCATCCCTCTAGACTAAAAAAGAGGGGATGTTCATCTGATGTTTCAAAAACAATTATTACCCATTGTAGGTAAAAACTGCCACACAGGATGCCAGCCTTTGCCAGTACATCTTCCTGGTTGAGGTAAAACTGACCTTCACATCAAAGTTTCAACATGACCAGCTATCAGGTGTCAACCTATGATCCTGCCAACTTTTACTGATATTTTAATACATTAGCTAAACTACGTTAGTTCTATTGACAAACACCCTTTTGGTTTTCTGTTTTACGGAGAAGTTAGTAGAGAAGAGAATATGAAGTAGGTTGGAAGAAAGACCTCATGATCTGAACTTAGAAATGGGCAAGTATACCCTTAAATGAAAAAGTTCGTTCTTTGGAATATTTGGAATACCTCGTGCAGGCAAACCATGTAAGAAAGGAACTGTAAATAATTAAAATAAATCTATGGGACTGCCTTGTCTATTTCTATAGTACTCACCCTAACTGTCACCTACATAACTAATATATTTAAATTTTTTAAATAATACATTTAACTGTTAGAATACATCTATAGGAATTAAAAGTCAGTTGGTATTCCTGTTTTGCTTTAGAATCAGAAGTCTACAGTTTAAATTTGGTGTAAGACACAAACACTTACGTGAGAAACACCAGGTATATATCTGTTCACTGTGTTCTGTAAGGACATGAGAACTCTTGCATGAGCTCATCCCAACAGCCATATCTTCTAGCATTACATCTCTGACAGCAGTTGAAAGTTGCTGCCTTTTAGTACCCATAACAGCCCAAGGCTCGGCATTCCAGAACCTCACCAGGCAGTGTGGGAGGAACTACCTCCTTTTGCTCATTTGGAACCTGCCACCAATGAGTTTCATTTGATGCCATCCCTGTGCACAGCTGGGGCAGCAGTGGTCAGGCACCTTCTCCATACATCTTACAGTTTTTTGTCATCCCTTTCTTAATAATTTTCTTTTCCAGCCTGAAGACAAACAATTGCTCCCTGCTATATTTAGACTGATTAAGATTATCAAATAAATGTCTCTTCTAACCTACTCTATTTGTTTGGTTTTTGAGATACTAGAACACCTCCTCTGTTTACAGTAAGACTGACACTTCGGAGAAACCTAAACCACAGAGCCAAAAACTCTTTCAGCTTTAACTGAATCATTTTTTTTTTAACTGCTTATATGCTTTCTCAAAGTTTAGCACTAGCAGAATAATAAAAGAGCATGAACATTTTTAAGAGTAAAGTACGTAGAGCAAGCATTACCCTGGAAACATCAAGGAGCTGCCAGACAGCTTGCAAAGGTCAGCGGTGCTTCCTCCCAGTGAGTACAAAGCTTTGGACCCAACAAAATACCCCAGTGCTTTTATTTCATCCCACACTGATGAAAAGATTCCTCAGTTCCTTGACTGAGGAAATTAATTGTGGCGTACTGCAGTCAATTAAACATTCTGGACTGAGAAAACAGTTTCAGGCCTTTAACACCGAGTTCCATCAAAGTCAGTTCATGAATCCCTAGTCCCATGGTGATGCAGGGAGAGGCTTACACAGCCTTTAGGATACAGGCTATACCACGCAGGTGATACAGCCTTGCCAGCTGGTTCGCAGGTTACTAAAGCCAGGATCTAATGAGATATCTAGTAAGTTTGTAGAAAGAGCAGTAACCTTCAATAAATATTTCTATTCCACACCTTTACATCTTTTACCACATGAAAGTGAAATGGTATTTCCTATTCTATTCCTATAACCAAACTGGATGTTAAATATTACAGATGCTAAAAAACACAAACACGTTAAAATCAGCCGAAGACAATACTGCATATAATTCCATGAACTGCAAATAGCCACAAGTTGGGAGAGCATTTGAGAGAAGAATTGTACTTGCTGTGTTTGTACTCTTCTCTAGGGATGTGTTATGGTCATAGCAAAGATGGGATTTTGGGCTAGGCCAAAGGCTCACTCAGGCCAGTTTTGGCAGCTCTTACAGTCTTTTGGTTTCTCACTCTACTAGTGGAATAATCTTTTGGAGGCACGATAATGTTCCCATTTCCTACTCTTTCCCAATTTCCCCTCAGGAAAATTAAAGAGGAACCCCAGCAGTATCACATCACAATGAAGAATTTTCTTAGGTTTTGTTATACCTAAGCTCCAAAAGATAAGGGTACTCTTACACTCCCAGTCAGTAGTACATAATTGATTTTCAGTTTTCTTCACAGGTAACTGAACCCCAGTTATCTGGGTGTTCCTTCTTCTTGCGTTGTTTGCCCTAACTGAAAAGTTCATGAAAGCTCCATGAAAGTCTCCACTGTTCTACTAAAGTTCTAACTACAAATGTGTTAGGAGAATTTCAGTACTTGAATTCTCCATTCTTGCCTTTATCTATTTGAAAGAACTCCAAAAAGCACCTATTAGCAGCATCTCATTGGCTAAGGTTTTGACGCATGTCTGTTATGCCTTATCTTAGAATTACAGAGATAACTGGAAGAGATTACAAATAACATTAGTAAAATAGTGTCTTTCTAGATGTTGGGGTTATTTTTTTTCTTACTGTGAATATACAAATGTTTCAAACTTTTAAAAATTAGTAAGAACGGATTATTATTAAATTCTGCACTTTTATCCTTGATTTCCATGGGTTTATTTTTACTGATGGTGACAAAGGAATGGCAAACTTGCAAGCGGGAGCACTGAGGAGAGCATGGAGGGAATGGCATAACGGAAGAGGCTTTCACGATTTCCTTGTAGAAGCAGCACAATGTGGGGGCCCCACCACAGCTGTCTGTAAAACAGATGTGCAAGGCTCGCAAGACAGAATCAGAGAGGAGGGAACAGCTGCACCACTATAAATTCTGGGATATGAACAACATCATGGGATAGCTTCTACAGCTGCCACAGCACAACAGCTTGGAAGGCAATGACAGCAGGCTGCAGGCCAGGGAAGACAACAAGAAAGCCTTCTGCAAGTGGATCAGCAACAGAAGGAAGGCTCAGGAAAACCTAGGTCTGGGTCTGGTTCTACCACTCATGTCCAAAGCCCTGGAGAAGGCCATGGCACTCCGTGTCGTCTTTGGCTCCATTGCTCCTGGTTAAGCCCTGGCCTCAGCCCTTCCAGGGCCCCGAGCCTGCATCATTCAGGGCAGCAGGGCTGTTCAGAGGGACCCTGACAGGCTGCAGGAACAGGATGGTAGCTCAACATAGTGAAGACAAAGTCCTGCTCCTGCCATCAGAACCTGAAAAGGCTGTAAGACCCCTTAGAAAAGGCTTTTTCTGAGTTCACTGACTGAGCTGCAACAATGAACACATCCAGTGGAATGCCCAGTAAAGCAATTTATCTGTATGGGAGGGTACTGGTGAGACCACAGCTGCCGATGACAGTGGTCCAAACTCACTGCAGGTAAGTTAGCAAAGTCATCTGCATGAGCAGCAACAAATAGCCAAAGATGCCAGGTATAAAGAACAGGAATGGTGCTGGGGGTTTTATAATGTAACCTGCATGTAAAGAGCAGAATCTACAAGTGACACAGGATGGGGAAATCAGGGGAAAAAAGGAGAGGATAGGATATGGATTCATACCATGGCAAACTGGGAGAAAGAAAACAATACAAATTATTAAAGGTAGTTGTACAATTAAAAAAAAAAAAGAGGTAGAGTCCAGAGAAGCTGTAGCTGCCCCAACCCTGGAAGTGTTCAGGGCAAGGTTAGATGGGGTTTGGAGCAACCTGGTCTAAGGAAGGTGTCCCTACCCACAGCAGGAGGTGGAATGGGATGAGGTTTAAGGTCCCTTCCAACACAAACCATTCTGTGATTCTATGATTCTATGGCATAGCTAGAGCATGGGGACTCTCACTGCTTCCCAAGGAAATCTTGAAAGGATTTAGGAAATGGTAGGGGAGGAAACAATAGCCCAGAATACCACTGTAACCTAACAGGTCAGAGCAGTTCTTAAAATACATGAGCGAAAACACCTGGAAAAAGATTAAGGATTTTACAATTACTGCCATGCTTGGCAATACACTAATCACCAAAAGAACACCAGAGTCATAAATGAAGAAACCTACTGACAAACTCGAGAGAATTCCAGAAAATTCTGAGAAAAGTTATTGAGAATATTAGGAGACAGGAAATTATTCTCTATAATACAAAGTTCCATAAAGCAAATCAGTTGCTTCACTTACGAGTATGTATCTACCTATACAGAAAGAAAAAATAGGTTTTTTGCCTATAAAAGTGATAACATAATGATCCTAAAATTGTTTAAGAGGTATTTAATTCTGAACAATTAAAATTGTTCAGAAGTAAGGTGAAAATTCTTAGGGGTGAGTGTAGCCGAATACTGAAAAACATTGACAATGACTGCAGAGAATATTTCATCAGTAGTGATTTTCAATACTCTAAGGTCTGTCTTGCAGACCTAAACCAAAACAAAGTAGCAGTAAGTTCTCATGATAGGGTTGGACTTCAGATTGTCTAGTTGCATGACACTAAAAATAAACTATTACTTTTTTTTTTTTCTCCCAGAAGATCAAATATGTGCTCCTTCTTTTCAGAGTCTTCATAAGAAGGCTTGCCACTCTAGTAAAATAAAAAGACCTCTTAATACAACTATTAGGAGCTGATATACAAGTATGCAGACCATAAAGAACAGACAGA